GAAATGCTCGCTGGATTGGCTCGATGTCCTGAAAACAGTTAAAACGGTGTAAGCTCATGTTTAGCCAAATAAGTTTCAAGAAAAAACAATTCTATAGGAATTACGGGATGTTTTTTAGTCAGCCAATCACACGACATCTGATGTCCATTCAATCGTTAAACTATAACAATGTTCAAAAGGTGTATTGCCACATCGCTAATTGTCCTTCATGAGTGGGCTCTTTCATACATACACAACCTAATGTGATAAATGGGTAAAACTTAGGCGAAGTGGTTTGATACCGTTTAAATAAATAGTCCCGAGAAGATCCAGGTTCGAACTGGGCTCAGCAACCCATGCTTGTCGTAAGAGGCGTCCAACGGGATCGGGTGGTCAGGATCCCTGACTGGGTTGCAGCATTTTATCGTATCCCAATTGCGGAGATCGATGCTAAGGACGTTAATCACTGGATTGTCTCGTTCAGATTCGATTATTTTCAAATAGCCGACATATACATGTAGCTAGAATGTTGCTTGAGTGCGGCATCATACAACAAACAAACCGATAAAAATCCGATCCTTTTGGGAAGTACTGTCTGTGTTCGGTGGCAGGTTTAATATTATAAATATATATAAAACGGCAGCCACTGTTATGTTATCAAAATAAATAATATACTTATTAATGAAAATGTGTGTGTGGAAATGACTAAATATATTCGGGATTCTTGGTTGCATCATATTTAAGGACAATATTTTATTCACTCTGTTATTTCATATGACCGCCTCTTGTGGATAGAGCGTCTGCTCGGAGAGCGGAAAGTCGGGGGTTCGAAAAATATGGTACTTGTTGTTACCCTGCCTAGCGCTCAACATTAAAGGGGCTAAAAACTTAAAACTTGTGGACTCAGAGTCAGTATACTGTATCTGAGCGGTGTATGCATGTTAAACTGCGCCATGGTATCTCAGTAGGCTATAAAAAAATTAAAAAATCGACATTAGTCCGGGCTAACAAACAGACACACACACACACACACGTGCATGTACGTCGCTGTGTAAGTGCAATAATCTAGAACGTGACATTTAACCCCATTTCACCTCATCTGTAATTCAATATACAAAAGCCAGTTTAAATGCGTTGAAAATACTCTTACTGGTCTGAATGGTGTGTATCGTTGAGCATTGAAAACGTGAAAATACTCTTGCTGGTCAGAATGGTGTGAATCGAGGCTGATTATTCTCTGGCGTTGACGTTATATAGTGGTGTTTATGTTTTTAATTCATAGCGCTTTTAGCACTGTTCCAGACACACCATGGGGTATGAAGTATTTCAAGCAGTAGAGTAAGAAAAGGAGGACAAAGCAATTTCAGCATAATATCCAGATATTCGTGCTTGTCAAAACTCCTTTATCCGCACGAGATCTTTCGCCGTTCAACGGATCTTCAGGTGTAATGAAAACTTCAACTTATATTGTAGTCCTAGGCGACGCATAACAGTAGTATTTGTGGCGTCATAATGCTTATGATGTAATAGTGGCAATAGAGGGAGAAGTAAAACGTAGTACTAGGCAAAAATGATGTATATCCACTTTCAACTCTTCGGTGTTCTGGTTTAGTGTTGGCGTGAATTTCAGGCCCCATTTTAATAATTTGATTTCTGTATCTGTTAATTTTCTGTTTGAGAGATTTATTATTTTAGGATCAATTCAGGCTTCTCAGAATCTGGTGATACTGTCTTTACCTGTATCCTTTTCTTTGATGGCGGTAGTAGTTTAAAATTAAGTTTGTGTTCATAATTTGAGGATGTTTTCTATTTCTTTCTGTTGCCATGTACGTTCTTGGCCACGGTGGTTCACATGTCCCTAGAGTCCGTCGCCTCGAGGATGGAAACCTACTCTTTCCTCTTGTGAATATACCTTGTATCGATCCTCCGAGTATCGTCGAGGTGGTTGCCTCTTTGGGTATAAATCCATTTGATCGTCATGAGTGTTTTGTTGGTAATTTTGTCCTGATCTAACTTGGCGGAATGGTTGCTGCACGTTACACTTAAACACACTCCGGCCGGGGTTGTGTGCTGCAGTTTGGATTATGCTCTTTGTAAATTTAGGGCGGGTATTACTGCTTCTTTTTTCCTTTATACATTTCTTGTCTCTGCAGTAGTTGTCCGCATATGCCTGGAACCATGTCTCCTTCCTACTCCATATTTCTACGGACTTCAACTCTTCCTTATCAATATCTTCTTTCCATAATTTTGAAAAAAAAATCTTGAACCTGAGGTGAAGTATCCTCCTGAAATGCAAATTCCATACTGTCGTCCATGTTTCAAATTTTTAATTCGTATCTCGGCAGTCCTTTCTCCAATAGTTTGGAATCTCTTAACGGCCAACTCCTTACGCATGTCTGTCTCTTCCCTCGGTTCCTCTTGGATGTTGTTAATCTAAAATTTGCGTGGGAGTATTGGCTCGTCCTTGCTTAGCCATTTTTTGTAAATGTCTATCTTGCGTCTGGCACTGTAAGCATTATATAATGCAACTCTTCTTTATTGTCTTTATTATTATTTGGCAACCTCTATTGTCACTATTACATCATAGGCAGTATGACGCCACAAATACTACTGTTATGCGTCGCCTAGGACTACAATGTAAGTTTAAGTTTTCATTACACCTGAAGATCCGTTAATCGGCGAAAGATCTTGTGTGGATATCTGGCTGATTTTTTCTATAATAAGTAGTTAACATGCTTTTGATCTCTGACCTAAGCCCTTTTCTTACAATTGAAGTTGTTATATGAACAGGTGAGCTTCAGTACCGTGAAGCCATTATCTATGGTGACGTATTGGGAAAAAAGGTCGAGAGTGGTACCGTTCACTGCCATATTCCGCTATCTTATGGATCTCATGGATCTAGCTCACGCACAGTTTGTATTACCACTTCTGGTTAGCTCATGTCGCTTCCGGGTGCGAGATTTCCTTCCTACTGCAAGAGTTCTTTAAACAATACCCCTGAAGTTCTGTTAAAATGCATAATAAGGCCTTGCAAGCCAATAAGGCTGCAACATGTGAGACGAACCAAAGAAATGGTGATAGCATCTTTGTGCATCAATTAGACCTCTCTATACAGAACCTTTTGCAGAAGGAAAACAGAATAAATATATACAGTTTTTATTAGCAGTTAAGATGCTTTTGAGTTCTAACCTAAGCCCTTTGCTTACAATTCAAGTTGTTATATGAACAGGTGACAAACGGGTTTCAGGTACTAGAGATATTAAGTGTCACTAAGGATTATCTTTAACGCTATTTTTCGAGATGATGGAGTTAAACAGGTTTCACTCTACGATATGGTTAATGTTCATTAACATCTATCTTGATATTTTGCGTTGCATTTAGAACGTTTTAAATTAAAATTTACCTTATATTATGAATAATGTCGTGAGCGGGTATTGCGGAGACTTATCGATCTTGGCCTATTTTCCATGATTGATTTCACACAAACCTGTCACAAATGCGTATCAGTTTAATAAATAGATCAGCAAATCAAAATATGACAGTTCAACATAAGGTCATCCTTTTGGAAACTATATAGTACCATTGTCATCACCAGTGTCTTCACCAGACTGAACAGTGGAGTGGAATGTGGGTATACTCACAAGAATAATTATGAAGGCGAACACCGAAATCCTTTGTTCTTAACTGTTTAAAACCTCAATGAATGAACGATTTTTGAACCTTGTCAATGTATTATTGTACTTATAATGCATATTTTAAATAAGATTGTTGACAATATAGGGTTTGAAATATGAAACTATTATGCTATTAATTTTGAGAAAGAAGTATGTTTTGATTACTTTTTAGCAAGAACTTATTTAAGTCTTAATACACGTACCTTTCTATTTCGCCGTTTTATGTTCAAATTGTACATCGTTTTACAGTTTTACATATCTTTTTTCAGCATTCGATCCTAAAAGCAATAACTTTCTATCCAAAATTATGTTAGTTTTTACTTGCTTGTCATTACTGAATACAGATGCACTTTGTTTATTGAGCACTTACATTTTTAAGTTATAGCAAGATCGGGGTGCATGGGGTTGTATGCGTCTCGCGTTAGGTTTTATACCATTAGCTGGAGGCGAGTCGTATAAAACCCAACGAGGGACGCATAAAACCTCATGTATCCAGAATCATCGTGCTACAACGAATTTATCTGACCGATATGTTTTAATACGACATTGTCAATGAATTAAAATATATTAAAATAAAGGTGACCTTCACTGACTCGGAAAAAAGCGTAAGACTTTTTGCTTTGAAGCGGGGTATAAAGGATTTAATCTGCTTCTCAGAATTCCACGTGCAGTTTGACTTGCTCGTGGCGGGGTATGAGCTGATTTATTCAACCGCAGAGACTTTTTATTTCACTCCAAGGGGGTATACATTGTATGCTATCAAGATCAGGTTGACCAATCAGATCTAATCATTCCCAATCCACATCCACATCCCCTTCCACATCTACATCTACATCCACAGCCAAATCTACATCCAAATCAACTTCCAAATCCACATCCTATCTACATTCTTTTGGTCGTCGTTATCACCATCCCAATCCACATCCACATCCCTTCCACATCTACATCTACACCCACATCCACATCTCGTCCACATTCACATCCACATCCTCACAGTCATCGTTATCCACATTTATATCCACACCCACATCCACAGCAAGAGCAACAACAACAACCATGGCCACATCTGATCCACATCCACATCCACATCCACATCCACATTCACATCCTATCCCCATTCTTATAGACATCGTTATACCCCATCCCCGCCCGTACATACGTGTGCTGCCAGAAAAGAACTGTGTTCCCTCATGTGTTCACTATCCGACACCTGACATTGAAACCCATACATAGCCACATCTTACCTTTGTGGTGGTCGCGATATAAATGTAATAGTTTTCTCAAGAGATGATCAACTATTCTTTATTTACAGTGCACTTGCTGAAGGCACTCTCAATAGTCTCGACCAAGCCATCTCAACTGGATTTGCAGATGAGCAGAACTGCCCTGTAGCAGATAATCTCACGGACTTCTCCGATCGATCCGTAGCCAGGAGCACACGGTACGAACTTCAAATTTATTATAATAATAAGCAAATATTTCAATCCGATACGATACTCGTCAGGATTTGGTGACTCCTCCTCGGAATGTCGCTTCTGGTTAAGTCTTAGTCAACTCGTACCTAGAACTTGATAAACATTTGATTTTAAGGAAATTGTCGTCAAAAAAAATATAGGCGTTTTTTGTCATAATGTTGTTGTGCTCGTCCCAGAGAAAGACCTATATATTGAGCTTGATATGCATGGTATCACTATGCGACCTGTATTATATACAGGGTTTGATATATTTTAATACCTCAATATTATTTCTAAATTAAGATTAGCTGCCTAGTATTCTGTTGTGATTGGTTGATTAACTGGAGCTTAAATTTGGGACTACTTTCTACAGTTTGCACAAAGTTAACAGCAAGGTAACCCAACCAATTTTCGTTTGAATTAGAAGTAGAAGTTGCCAGGAAACCTCAAAATACATATTAAACCATGTGCATCTCTGCTGTGTCCATTACGCGGGAGAGGTTTGAATTCAAACCCATACAACGTATTTCTTCACCATACGTCTCGTGTTCTTTACATCAACACCCGTCGATAAAATGTCAAATAGTATAATACTTCGTCAAGGCCAGATTTTTCTGACATTTAAAAAAAAGAGATTGATTTGATACTTAAAAATCGACATTTGAGAGACATCCATTCTGTGTCGATCAACAGAAAATGGAAAAAGAGACTATTTGATATCAGTAGAAAGCCTTTTGTGGTTTGCAGGGATACCCTGCCGCTTTGGATCGCGCCTATCTATGGGAGAAGCTGTGAGCCCTGTCCACCCAGAGTCCACTACCTGTATCGTTTCTACCGGCGTTGTTACGTCATCTTCCCCTACAGACAGTGGGTCAGATACGTCACGTGTCCGTAAGTATGTTTACCTGCCGCGTGTCTCGAAAAATTACCGAAAACTCGCCATTCGCCATAATACAGCACTGTCATTGTGGACGTAGGTGTTTAATTTCAGTCATGGATGTCCCATGGGTAGCACTGTTGAATAAGACGCCGCAATTCGCCCACCAGACGTGCCTGAAACCTATGATTGTGGTTTCAAAAATCAAATTGGCCCTGATTGTATTTATAGGTTTGCTGTGTCCAGCATATCTGTGCCCGGGTGTATCACTTGGTCGTTCTGAGACCTGCATCACTTCGGGCTTTTTTACCATATCAAGCTGACCCGGCGTGATGCAGTTACTGTTCAAAGCGGCTGTAAAGCAAACAGAAAACTGTGACAGAAATCGCTTATAACGAATACCCAAAAATTGAAGTTAATTTTACGGTTCTTTAAAAAAATATCCTCGACTTTGCTTCTCGTTAGAGGCGGATGAGGTGGTCAGAATCGCTGACTTGGTTGATGCATGTTATCGTATCTTAATTTCGTTCATGCCCATGATGTCAATCATTAAATTGTCTGACCCAGACTCGATTATTTACAGACCGCTGTATATTTACAGATATTGCTGGAATATTGCTGAGTGCGGCGTTAACAAACAAACAGAAAAAACATATAGGCTATTTAGCCACATTCGTTACCACTCGTCTTTCCGGGACAAGGCGAGTGGCGACTCGTGACTGTAGTGTGGCCATTTTATCAACTTTGTTCGTCGGAATATCGAACTAATAGTCAACGTATTTATCGTTGCTTTGTGCGTTAATATTGATACTTTCTAAATATAATACGAGAAGGGGCCTGGTATGACGCTTATCAGACATGAATTCCTCGTTAAATTTGCTGAACAAAATTACATTGTACATCAGTATACTCAGCTTCATTATTGAAGGGTCACCTAGGTGTGTCCATCTTCCCGAGGCAAGTGAGTTAACTGACTATAAAAGTCCAGTTTCCACTCTTGCCGAACTAGGCTGGTATTATGGATACTCCAATCAAAATCGCGCATCGAAACCGAAATCCGGTTCGTAAAGTGTCATGCAGATTTCGGTCGACTGCAGGATTTGCAAAGCATGTGCACCGCTAAAATATAACTTGTTGTCAATAGATATTTTCTAAATCTTTTCATGTTTTTAATCAAGGTGCTCACGTGATTTGATGCACTTCGCGATGTAAGACTCGTTTTATCACAATATAGATCTTGAATATCAATCAGATCGTCTTGACTGGGCGCCACCGTATTGTTTGAAGCAAATGCAAGTGATACGAGAGGTTGAATCTGATTGGTCAATAGGAGAGGCATAGAAAGGACATAACTCGTAATAGCCACTGGTGGCGCTACGATCGAGGCCAGGAATTCCAGCCTAGTTAGGCAAGGGTGGAAACTGGACTTTTAAAGTCAGTTAACTCTCTTTCCTCGGGAAGATGAGGTGTGTCGGGTGTCAAACATGAATATTTGCCAACATGCAGTAGCAGGCCTGAGTATGTTGACAATGTGATTAACAGTTGCAGAACATGTTGTTTATACATACACTGTATGTCACACCGCTTGGGTGCTTTTATGAAACTGGAGAAATGGTCAACTACGTATACTCTTACCAACAATGCAAAGAGCAAGATTGAAGCTGGTGGAAAAGCTACCCAAAACATTCGCCTGAACGCAACCAGTGGGTATGCCCATGCACGTGCATTCAATGAGGGTATGACATTGTTAACTGCACTGTTGGAAGTTGAAAATACGATGTTATTAAAATACTTTTATCTCTCATTATCTGGATGACCCCTCAATAATGATGCTGAGTATGTTATTATCGGCGTATGCTGATTATTTTACCAGACTTACTGCCAAACAAACTTATGAAAAATCTATGTAAAGACAGCATTTGGGGACAGTAGGCGTTCCGCGTTCAACGGAGTAATCCTTATTAATTGAACAGGGGATCACGATGGAGTTGTGACACGGTGAACATGGAGTTCGCGAATGCTCTACGTGTTTGTTGTCAATGAACAAGTCGACGAGACTCGCGAGCTGAATCTTTTCATTGGCCCACTAGCAAAGAACGGATTATGCAGATCCGCTTGATTGTCAGCTGACTGTCAGCAGGGGCACAGGTTTGTTTGTTGTTTAACGCCGTGCTCAGCAATATTCCAGCTATATGACGGCGGTCTGTAAATAATCGAGTCTGGACCAGACAATCCAGTGATCAACACCATGAGCATCGATCAATACATGAGGATACGATTACATGTATCAACCAAGTCAGCGAGCCTGACCATCCGATCCCGCTAGTCGCCTTTAACGGCAAGCACCGGTTGCTGAAGACATATTCTACCCCCGATCTTGACGGGTCGGGGGCACAGGTGACCCATTCGTCGCTATGCAGAGTTGCGTCCCTTGGGCACACCAGAAACCTGTGATTGTGGGTCGGAATCCTGGTTCACCCCGATTAGGTTTCTAGGTTTGTCAGCACCATACCCGTGCTCCTGGGTTTCACCAAAGTGGTAAAGGTTTGATCACTTGGGGCTTTCTTTCCTATACAAAGCTGACACGCCGTGATATGACCGCTATACTGTTCAAAGCGACGTTAAACTCACTCACTCACTCAGTTGTACGTTCGTGACTGTTTTTAAGTTTGTTAAGTAGCACGTCAAGTAAACAATGGGCAGAGTTTCCACTTAATCTGAAACTATGTACATATTGCGTACTTTTCTATTTAATTTCTATTGTTTTATGTCACATTATTATCAATATTTTTTAAGTCGCAAATGTAGATTTATAGGCTTATAAAGCAACAGTGACCATGAGAAGTCACACAATACTTTAAGTAGTTATCAAAATCAGGACTTGCCTATTTGTAGCTGAACCTTGGTTTAGCTTTTACTTTGACTCAAACAATATGTTTCTTGAGTAAGTGAGCGAGTTAAAATTTAACGTCGCATCGGCATTATTTCAGCCATACAGCAACTGTTTCTTGAATATTTGTTTTATTAGAACATATATAACAACGTGCTCTATTTACATGAAATCAGTAATTTGGGCTAATTTCGGTTAGAATATAATTAGTCCTGTTAGGTCGTTAACAGTGATACAGATTGTATGCTGTTGAATGTGCCGCGTCCATTTGCTTGGCATCAAATTACAAATAAGAATACAAATACCCAAAATGCCTTGATGTTTTCTTTTGAAAGTTGATGATCAGGAGAAGACAAATAAAAGGTTAAAAGCTTTCATAAAAACAAAACGCACTATTGCTGCGTAAAGACCTACGCTCGAATACACTACAAAACTTCCTAACACTTTTCGTATTTAACCTTCAGGTCCAAATGCAACGAACCGTGTTGGGGTTCCAATACAAGATGCGTGCCAACACGCTACATCCGGGTGTGGGTGTAGGTGTGGGTGTGGGCGTGGTGTGTTACAAGTTTGGTCTAAACTGGCGCTGGTTGTGGCTCCCACAAGACTGCGAATGTCGGGAGCTCAACTTCCTCGGCTAGATTTCATAAAGTATACTGAAACACAATAAAAACGTGTAATCAGCTTTAATTCGAAATTAGAAAAGATTTTTTCGTTTGTTCAAGACCATCTCCAAACACATGACTGAGATTCCAACCCGTGCGACGACAGTGTTGTGTTTGATTATCACATGCCTGAATAAGCAGAATAACTTCATTTAATTTGTGTGGCTATTTTGCCAAATGGTACAAAATCGAACAAACGTTTTTAAAGTGTTTCAGCATACATAATACACACTGGTTTGAATCGACTAGCTGTACAGCCGAAAAGAAAGATTCATTTTACATCGTTTTCATATGAACCTCCTGCGAGGCATCTAATCGGCAGCACAGTCAGCGATCTACATGTAGCTATACATTGTGATATATGCACACCCAGGTTGTTAGTATACAACGTTGTTATATATAGTAATACATGCACACACAGAATGTCAGTATACAACGTAGCTATAAATAGTGACATATGCACACCAAGGATGTCAGTATACAAAGTTGCTATGTATAGTGATACATGCACACCCAGGTTGTTAGTATACAACGTAGCTATAAATAGTGACACATGCAAACACAGGATGTTAGTATATAATGTAGCGATATATAGAGACACATGTACACACAGGGTGTTAGTCGAGAACGTAGCTATACATAGTGACACATGTACACACAGGATGTTACTATAGAAGGTAGCTATATATAATGGTACATGTACATCAAATATGTAAGTATGCAACGCACCTATATATATGCATAGTGACACATGTAAACCCAGGATGTCAGTAGACAACGTAGCTATATATGGTGACACATGTACACGCAGGATGTCAGTATACAACGTAGCTATATATAATGGCACATGTACATCCAGGTTGTTGGGATACAACGTAGTTATATATAGTGATACATACACATCAAAGATGTTAGTATACAACGCAGCTATACATAGTGAAACATGCACACCCAGGTTGTTAGTATACAACGTAGATATATATAGTAATACATGCACATCGAAGATGTAAGTATACAACGTAGCTATACATAGTGATACATGTACACCCAGGATGTCAGTATACACCGTAGCTATATATAGTGACACATGTTCACGCAAGTTATTAGTATACAACGTAGCTATACATAGTGACACATGTACACCCAGGATGTCAGTATACACCGTAGCTATATATAGTGACACATGTTCACGCAGGTTATTAGTATACAACGTAGCTATACATAGTGACACATGTTCACCCAGGATGTCAGTATACACCGTAGCTATATAAAGTGGCACATGTACACCCAGGTAATTAGTATACAACGTAGCTATATATAGTGGCACATGTACACACAGGATGTCAGTATACAACGTAGCTATACATAGTGATACATGCACACCCAGGTTGTTAGTATACAACGTAGCTATATATGGTGACACATGTACACCCAGGATGTCAGTATACAATGTAGCTATATGTAGTGACACATGTACACCCAGGTTGTTAGTATACAACGTAGCTATATATAGTGGTACATACTAACCCATGTATGTCAGTATTCAGTGCACCTATATATTATGGTACGTTTACACCAAGGATGTCGGTATACAACATAGCTTTATATAGTGACACATGTACATCAATGATGTCAGTATACAACAAAGCTGTATATAGTGACACATGTATACACAGGATGTCAGTATACAATGTAGCCATATATAGTGACACATGTACACACAGGATGTAAGTATACAACGTACATATATTTATTGATACATGTACACCCAGAATGTCAGGATGCAACAGATCTCAATATAGTCGTACATGTACACACAGGATGTTCGTATACAGCGTAGCTATATGTAGTGGCGCATGCACTCCCAGGATGTCAGTATGCAACGTAGTTATATATACTGACACATGTACACCCAAGGTGTCAGTATGCAACGTAGCCATCAAAATTGACACATGTACACACAGGATGTCAGTATGCAACGTACATGTACCTATATATAGTGACACATGTACACGCATGATGTCAGTACATGTATATATGTATACACAGGATGTCAGTATACAATGTAGCTATATATAGTGACACATGTACGCGCATGATGTCAGTACATGTACATATGTATACACATGTTGTCAGTTTGCAACGTGGTTATACATAGTGACACATGTACCCAAGATGTCAGTATATAACATAGCTATATATAGTGGTACAAATACACAGGGGATTTTACTATACACACATAATTTTAATAGCATTTTATAGAATGGAGCTATATAGTGAGACATGTACACCCAGGATGTCAGTATACAAAGAATCTGAAAATATAGTGACACATGTACACACAGGATGTAAGTATACAACATAGCTATATATAATGACACGATGTCAGTATACAACGTATCTATATATAGTGGTACATGTACACACGGGATATCAGTATACAATGCATCTATATAAAGTGACACATGTACACACAAGATGTCGATGTACAGCGTAGGTATATAGTGAAACATTTACAGCTAGGATGTAAGTTTAGAACGTAGTTATACAAAGTGACACATGTACACCCAGGATGTCAGTATACAACGTAGCTATATTTCGTGACACTTGTACACACAATATGTCAGTATACAACGTAGCTATACATAGTGACACATGTACACCCAAGATGTGAGTCGAGAACGTAGCTATACATAGTGACACATGTACACCCACGATGTCAGTATACAACGTAGCTATATATAGTGACACATGTACACCCAGGATGTCAGTATACAATGTAGCTATATATAGTGACACATATACACCCAGGATGTCAGTATACAACGTAGCTATACATAGTGACACATGTACACCCAGGATGTCAGTCGAGAACGTAGCTATACATAGTGACACATGTACACCCACGATGTCAGTATACAACGTAGCTATATATAGTGACACATATACACCCAGGATGTCAGTATACAACGTAGCTATATATAGTGACACATATACACCCAGGATATCAGTATACAACGTAGCTATACATAGTGACACATTTACACCCAGGATGTCAGTATACAACAGAGTAATATATAGTGACACATGTACACCCAGGATGTCAGTATACAATGTAGCTATATATAGTGACACATGTACACCCAGGTTGTTAGTATACAACGTAGCTATACATAGTGACACATGTACACCCAGGATGTCAGTATACAACAGAGTTATACATAGTGACACATGTACACCCAGGATGTCAGTAAACAACGTAGCTATATATGGTGACACATGTACACCCTGGGGGTCAGTGTACATCATAGCTATGTAAAGTGTTACATGTACATCCAGGATATGAGTATACAAAGGAGCTTTATACGGTGGCACATGTACACCCAGGATGCCAGTATACATCGTAGCTATATAAAGTGCTACATGTGCACAGCCCGGTTGTCAACACAGAACATTATGTTTCAGACAATGTGTAAAATCAGTCAGCGTGTCAATGGACAATGAACAGATTTGTCACTTAATTTGTAAAATGACTAAAATATTTAAACATTTTAAAAATTGCCTAAATGAATCAGATTTAACACATTGAGTGCAACATGTATATTGGTACGTATTCACATTGGGTGTTAGTGTAGATCATAGCAGGATGCGCATGCGCCTGAATAGCATGTCGCTGAAAAGAATGCTCCGTCACAATCGCGTTAATAATGAGATGATGTTGTGCAAATGTAATGTGACCTTGAAGCAACCCGGCATGGGTTTATGTGAGTGAATCATGAACATTATTTAGCGTTTTGCTTAAAATCAAGTGTCCTAAATGAAAACAAATGTGAAGGCGAATTTACACAAGTATTGTCACTGCTGACTGACCCAGCGTCCAGGCAATCAACAAACAATGGGCAGCCCGTGCAGGGTCATTGAAGCACTGACCAGTTCTCACAGCAAGGAAGATGGCCTACGATATCAAAAGTGTGGAGGATACACGCATTGACATTTTCAAAGCAATACACAGACGGCTTGGACAACGTGATGGAATTTATTTTGAAAATGAACTGTTTGAAACATACACTGATGATAAAGAAAACGGAAAGTAGAGAGGAAGAGTAGACAAGAATAGTCGACGTGATCCCCCAAAATGGACGTCCACCAAAACGTGTTCACAGAGAGCATTCCAGGAAGTCGGTGATTGAGAAATGTGCGTCTGGTGTATATTGCCTGTATGACTTTTTACAAACAAAACCCCCTCCCACACACTGGAAAAAAACAAGCACTCAGCAATTGCAAGCCCGACCCTCGCCCGACCCACATGGAGACAGTTCAATGGACAAACAACGAGGTAAAGATTTTTCTACCCTTATCTATACCACGTCCAATTTTCCTTCTTAAAAAATCTGTTGTTCAGAAACTCTAAGCATTGTGGCCGGTTTTACACAGATGATCGTGTTGTTTCCACGGAGACATCCTAAGGTATGAAAAGCGCAGCAATATGTTGTCGAAAAACCACGTGGTGACCACTTTTCCTTTGCACAAGACTGATATTTTTTGCAGTCAAGACATATAACTCAACCGATGTCTAATATAATTCAATGTTTAGCGTCATGAAAACATTTGTCCCATGAACCAGCGCGTGCACGTGTTCCTTCACTCAAAAATAATTTCTTTGTTTTGAAGAAACACAACCGTGTAAATACAAATATCATCAAAAGTAAGTTATGCTTTTATTAAATATAATATAATAGACACTGTGATTTCACAAAAAAATACATGTTGTAAAACAACCGTGTGATAAAACCTGCGCACTTGTCAACACCTACCGTTGGATATTTATGATTAGTTAGATGTGGTGATTGGTAAAAACAATGAGGGTAGGGG